GAGTATATGGTAATTTAAAAAAACTGGTCCTTCTTGGTGGACCACCAGTTCACAAGTTTCTGTCTTTGCAATTCTAAAATGATTCCCATACCTTCAACAGTGATACATCAAGGAACTGGCTTCCATATGACACTCCAGAAAAAATGGCATGTCACTCCTTAAATCCATTTTTGACCCCATGCAACTCTCCTGCAGAATATATCAGTGCTAGCACCAAAGAGGAAAACTCCTAACTAAACACTATTAGCCTGAAATAGTTTATTGCTCCCACTCCTTCATGGAGCTACAGGGTGACTTGTTCTAGGCTAAAGAGTGATTGATTGATAGACCCCAGAAGGTGATTGTCAGGTGCAGTTGTCTACTGTTTTCCAAGTATGTGGCTTTTTGTTTTAAAATTTTCAAAGAGGTTTACATATGTAAGGAACATGGAATTTCCTATATATGCAGGGTTCTATGCAAAGTTATATATCATTGGTGACAGAGTCTATAAGAATATTTTGATAGTTAACCACAGTGAGAATTTCAATATGTTATTGAAGTGCAACTCCCAGCATTCCTCTTCACTGGCTAAGTTCACTAATTATAGTATTCCGAGAGTTGTATTCCAGCAACTTTTGAAAATCCACATGATTTCCATCCCACAGTAAGTGTAAGCAGCAAGTTTGTGACCATTGTAACCATCTTTTTTCTTGAAAAACAAAATACAGTTGGCCTCTTTACCCATGAATTCTGCAACCTTAGATTCAACTATCTACAGCCTTGAAAATATTCCAAAACATTCCAAAAGACAAAGCCCAGTTTTGTCATTATTTATATATATTATTTTGCTATGCCATTGTTTATAATGGGGATCCATGGGGATTTTGGTATTCATGTGGGTCCTGGAAGTGAACCCAGTGGATACCAAGGACCTACTGTATACAGATCTGGAAGGATCAAGATTGGTGAAAGATGATGTCCAATCATTGTAGGCCATTGCTGACTATGTATGCTGTCTCTTTGTCTAGGTCAGTGGTTCTCAACCTGTGGGTCCCTAGGCATTTTGGCCTACAATCCCAGAAAACCCAGTCAGTTTACCAGCTGTTAGGATTTCTGGGAGTTGAAGGCCAAAACATCTGAGGACCTAAAGGTTGAGAACCACTGGTCTAGATGGACTGTCTCGCCTGCTTTTTTCCAGCAAAAGTTGTGAGGCATTATCCTGATCTATTCTGGTACATAGCTGCACAGATGAAAACCCCCATGATGAGATTTTTCTCCCTCGAGTTCCTAGGGTGATAAGGACTTGTCTGGTTATTCAAACAAAAACTAAGAAGACTTCATTGTTCAACAACATTTCCACATCTGGATCTGCCCTCTGTCAAGGAACCCTGAATCTTAATTTTAATGTTGTTGTACATTCGTTCAGTCGCTTCTGACTCTTTGTGACCTCATGGACCAGCCCACGCCAGAGCTCCCTGACAGCCGTCACCACCCCCAGCTCCTTCAAGGTCAAGCCAGTCACTTCAAGGATCCCATCCATCTTGCCCTTGATCATCCCCTCTTCCTTTTTCCTTCCATTTTCCCCAGCATAATTGTCTTCACTACGCCTTCCTGTCTTCTCATTATGTGTCCAAAATACTTCATCTTTGCCTCTAATATCCTTCCCTCCAAAGGGAAGGATATTAATAGCAACTGAAAAAACAAGCATGTCATTTTTTGCTGTTTCAATGCAACTGCCTTTTTATTACAGTAAAGTCTCGAATATCCAACATAAATGGGCTGGCAGAACATTGGATAAGTGAAAATGTTGGATAATAAGGAGGGATTAAGAAAAAGCCTATTAATCGTCAAAATACATTATGGTTTTACAAATTAAGCACCAAAACATCATGTTTTACAACCACTCAACAGAAAACATAGTTCAATACACAGTAATGTAATGTAGTAATTACTGTGTTCACAAATTTAGCACCAAAACATCATAATGTATTGAAACAGCTGTGGAGGCAGACTGCATTGGAAAATACAGAACGTCGGATGAGTGAAGGTTGGATAAGCAAGACTCTATTATGAAAATCTAAAACTGGAAACTCTCATATTAATCTATGGATGGGAAACATGTAACCCCACCATCAATGTCACTAGTATAGCCATAGGTGAGGAATGCAGTCCAACAATATATAGAGGGCCACATGCTTCCTCCACATTTTGATGTAACATAGCATTGAGTATGTTGTTTGACTGTACCTCCCCGCAGCCCTCAGACTTGACTATGTAATCTAGAGATAAAAGTCCTGCCAGATTTGAAAGGCTACAGGTGCCTAATCCTGATCTGATACAATTTAAGACAAGGCACCAAAACCATATTCATTCCTAGGCATGTTCAAAGTCAAGCTGTAAACCACTCAGTCAAGTAAGAATTCAAAAAGTCTATATTTTTAAAATACTTGTTAGTGAATTTTCACATCAGCAGGTGTCTCTGTCCAACAAGCCCATGATTGCCTCCTGCAAAGAAATGCTCAGTGGGATACAAGGTCTTACAGCAACAATTAGAGCAAACTTCATAACCTCATGTAGACAGCAATGGGCTTTGAACTTAAATATTAATGTTTACAGAATCTTTAAACTTTAACTTGAAACCAGCATACAGGTGCTTATCCAGAATTTCGGAATACACCAGAATTGTCTACCTTGGTGGCTGAGATAGTGACACTTTTTCTTTCTAATTGTTCAGTGTGCACAAACTTTGTTTCAGCGCAAAATGCTTTAAAATATTGTGTATAAAATCAACATTAGGCTACATGTGAAAGGTGCATATGAAACCTAAATGTCATGGGTGTCATCTTCAAGATTATGTAGATTATGTGTGCATGTGCAGATATAGATATTCCAAAATCTGAAAATATATTCCTGGCACCAAGCATTTTGGAGTACTCAACCTGTATTATAAAATCTGTGTTTTTCATGGTATGTTTCTATAATATTAAAGGACTGGCTCCTGAATACGAAAACATGCTTACAAAAGGCTAATCTTCATTACCTTGAGTATGCTCTTCTGAAACAATTGCAATAAGAGGGTAAATGGTAAATGTACAAAGTAATGCCTTGGGGAGTTTTGACAGTAAAAGATGTCATCCAGATTTGATTCTTGTGTGAATGTATTAAATATCACGGAGCTACATGGCAATATGTCTTGATTTGTTCAATCCAAGTCCTTTCACTTACGTGATAAATAGGAAGACCTAAGCTTGGAAAAGAAAATCTCCTACAGAAGTGGTTGTCTGATTTCTCTCCATGTTTGGTTAAAGATTGCAGAAGTAAAGCTCTGTGTATGACACCATTGTGAATGGTGTCACACACACTGTAGATCGCATCGCATGTTGCCCATATAGATTATGCATCACACCTTGCAATCATACATTTCACATTTGTTTTCACATTCAGTTATGCAGTATCACAGTTCTCTAATGTACAATCTTTATGATACTCCATAGGTGCAAACTTACATTGTGGTTCTTTAATCAAATATCTTTGCCAGTTGCCTTTGGGGGCATAGAACAATAACAGTAACTAATTGGGTTTTCAAAGATAAACACAGTTTAATATAGATACAACCTGAAGTTATTCTCTGAAACTTTTCATGAAATGGTTTCTTGTTTATTAAGAACCACCCTTGAGGTCCTGTTAAAGGTTCTGCATCATAGAAGATTTAATTTTCTGATGTTTTCTGTTGTGACACTCTAGTTGTGAAGTGTGCATTTTAGTGGGACATTGCAGTGCATCACCTTTCAGTTGCAGTTGCATAAGAAATCCTTTCTGTTTTTCCAAGACTCCCTAGTGAATCACTGATATGGCCTTTCACTGCTTACATATTTAAACTGCCATGTGCAGTTTGATATGTTTGCTAGTATATTTTATTTTATTATTGGATCTGTTGGGGGCAATAATAATGGTGCAATGGGTTATACCCTTGTGCCGGCAGGACTGCTGACCGAAAGGTTGGCAGTTCGAATTCAGGGAGCAGGATAACACATCCGGGTGTCCCCTGTGCAATGTCCTTGCAGAGAGCCAACTCTCTCAAACCACAAGCAACTTGCAGTTTCTCATGTTGCTCCTGACATGAAAAAAAGGATCTGTTTTGGTCATCTTTGCTATACTGTATTTTTTGTTATCCTTTGGGTATTTCTCTTTTAAATAGGAACACTGTTTTTAACACCGGCTTTCATGTTGTTGTATGCCTTCAGTCATTTCCAACACATGGTGATCTTATCATGGTATGTTCTTGGCAAGATTTGTGAGGACAGGGTTGCCATTGCCTTCCTCTGAGGCTGAAATTGTATTACATATATGTATATGACTTGCTCAAGGTCACCCAATGCATTACCATGGCTAAGTGGGGATCACTCACTAACAAAAAATGGAAAATTCTGAAGTATTTTCTGAACCCAATTCTAATATATTGAGAATTAGAGTTGTAAGTCTATAATGGAGAAGTCTTGTATTTCTTGACTCCAGTATTTTTGTACTGGCTCCTTTCTCTCTCTCAGTAAGTGAAAGCAGAAATGTAGCGAAGTTATTTGCAACTGTTCAAGTGATGCAATAGAATGCCTATTCTATGGGTCTAGTTTTGCATAGGTTCCACAACAAAACATGATTTGGGAACGACGATGTCCCATCCTGGTGGATGAGTTTTGTGTGGGTGTGTCAGGAGTGACTTGAGAGACCACAAGTCACTTCTGGTGTGAGAGAATTGGCCATCTGCAAGGACGTTGCCTAGGGGATGCCTGGATGTTTTACCATCTTTGTGGGAGGCTTTTCTCATGTGCCAGCATGGGGAGCTGGAGCTGACAGAGGGAGCTCAACCCACTCTCCCTGGATTCGAGCCGCTGACCTATCGATCAGCAGTCCTGCTGGCACAAGGGTTTAACCCAGTGCATAACCGGGGGCAGGTGGATGAGGTATAAATAAAGGAGTAGAATCATAAAATGTGTTACTAACAGTCATATTTTTTTGTTTTCCAGCCAACCAGTGAGCAAGTGGAGGAAAGGTGCCTAGATGTGAAAATAAGATGGAGCATAAAGATCAGCCCTGAAGTATCTTTCATGATCTTCTGGAATGGAGGGTTTTTCAACCTGATTTTGTCTACTCACTGAAGGCAATAAGCAGTTTGTGTAGATAAGATGAATCAGACAAACCTCACAACAGAAGCTACTGTGACTGTCCAGTCCAAGACAGCTACTGAAAACATGCTTATTGCCCTGACTCTGTCTGTCATTACCACCCTAACAATGCTGCTGAACTCTTCGGTCATTTCAGCAATCTGTACAACAAAGAAGCTTCACCAGCCGGCAAACTATTTAATATGCTCATTGGCTGTTACAGACTTACTTGTTGCTGTTCTGGTCATGCCCTTGAGCATCACCTACATAGTTATGGAAAGATGGACACTTGGATACTTCCTCTGCGAGATATGGCTGAGCATAGACATGACTTGTTGCACATGTTCAATACTTCACCTTTGTGTCATTGCTTTGGATCGATATTGGGCCATTACGGATGCCATTGAATATGCCAGGAAAAGGACTGCCAAGAGAGCTGCAGGTATGATTGGCACCGTATGGACCCTTTCCACTTTCATCTCCATGCCTCCTTTGTTTTGGAGGAACCACAACATAAACATCAATTCCAGTGAATGTCAGATTCAGCACAACCATGTGATCTATACCATTTACTCCACATTTGGAGCATTTTATATCCCTTTGACCCTGATACTGATTGTCTATTATCGGATTTATCACGCTGCAAAGAGTCTTTATCAAAAGCGTGGCTCAAGCCGACACCTCAGCAGCAGGAGTACAGACAGCCAAAACTCTTTTACCAGTTGTAAGATCACACAGACGTTCTGTGTGTCCGATTTCTCCACATCGGATCCCACCATGGAGTTTGACAGAATGCATGCCTCAATGAAGAGCCCTACTTTTGACAACGACCTGGATTTGGTTGGAGATCGCCAACAGATTTCCAGTGTGCGGGAGCGCAAGGCCGCACGCATCCTTGGCCTTATTTTAAGTGCGTTCATTTTGTCTTGGTTACCATTTTTTATTAAAGAACTCATTGTGGGCCTTGGACTTGGCACTGTGTCTACAGAAGTGGCTCACTTTTTGACATGGTTGGGTTACGTGAATTCCCTGATCAATCCGTTGCTGTACACCAGTTTTAATGAAGATTTTAAACTCGCCTTTAAAAAGCTCATTAAGTGTTGGGAACACTCTTAAAACAACGGCAGATGGTTTCAATGTGACTTCCTGGCCTTAAAATAAGAGAGAGGGAGAAAATAACTTAACCTAGCAACTCATTTGGATTCTTTTGTTTTTAGGCTGGAGAGCACATATTAAAAAAGATTAATTTAGCTTGTCTTTCTGCTTAATATCTCTTTAGCCTGTGAACTTATCATGCTGCTTTCTACCTCTATCTATTATGAGTACATGTATTTCTATATCATGAGATTCAAATACATTTTATTACACAGGTTCTTTCAATTTCCTTTCCCTCCCTCCCTCCCTCCCTCCCTCCTTCTCTTTCTTTCTCTCTGAAATAGAGCAAATGCAGCATAAAGGGCCCAATTCAATACTTGTCTTTAGACACTTCTAATAAATTATGAACCATCATCCTACTGTGTCGGTGATAACCCAACTCCCCTCCATCCTACTCCCTCACTGAATCTCATGCAAACATTTCTTTCAGTGCACAGTCCATGAAAAAGATATAATGGTCCATGCTGAATCAGACCAAAGACCTGTCCAGCCTTCTGTTCTCGAACCCAGAGAGGTACATAAAAATCCACACTTAAGCTACACATTCAGTGTCTTGTTCTGGTTGTGTTCCCCAGCATCTGTTACACAGAAGCATTTCCCTTCTGACCTTGTTGGTAGGATATGGTCCTCATGACTGGAAACTACATAGCCTCATTCCCTGTGATTTCAAATGTTCTCTTCCTGTATATTGATCCAGAGATCTGCCTCCTCTTGGAGCTCTGGTCCAGAGTTTTCTTCTGCCTATAAAAGTTGAATTCCCCTGCACTGCCTTTTCTTATAAATGTGAGAGATCTTATAGTGTACTAGCTGTCCCCAGCCACATGTTGCTATAGCCCAGTCTGGTTAAATGGAAAAGAAAGAAAAGAGAAATGAATTTTACAATGAATTTCTGGGTATACAATATTTTTTGTTGTTCCATTGCCTGTGCAGATACAGAGATTGTCTGGTTTGGCGACTGTAGAACCCTCAACATATAGTTGTCCATGAGAGAAGCAATCCGTGTCTAGATCTGAACCACAGAATCTAAAGATTGGCCCTGAGCTTTGTGGATGGTGATTGAAAATGCCAATCGAATTGGGAATTGCAATCTCTCAAATTGAAATGGCATATCCATTGGAATCATAGAAATGCGAGGAATGAGAACATCTTCAACCCAGAATATCAAGGCAGATAATCTTTGACTCAGGGCCCTTCCATGCAGCCATATAACCCAGAATATCAAGGCATGAAAACTGCCGGCTACTTTCAGTTCCGCCTCGCCTGCCTCTTGTGCCTCCCCGTGGCCCTTCCTTCACTGCTGTTCAGCCATGAGGCCATTGGTCGGGTTCCTCCTGGTCCTGAGAGCTACCATCACCGGCCTTTCCCTAGTGTCATCTATCTATCCATCCATCCATCCATCCATCCATCCATCCATCTATCTATCTATCTATCTATCTATCTATCTATCTATCTATCTATCTATCTATCTATCCACAGAGGTTTCATCATTAAGGTTTGTTTTGAAACAATTCCTTCCTTGAAAAATAGCCTACAATGCCAGGTATTAATTGGTGGTCAGCTATCCAAAAATATTTAACTGCTTAGCTTCCAAGATCAAACAGAAACTGGTGCCTTTAGGGGATTAAGGTGATATGCTAGGCATCTTTAAAAATCTGATGAGATATCAAGAAGATGGAGCAAGTTTGCTTCAGAGACTGCAACACAGGACCAATGAATTCAAATGATAAGAAAAGAGATTTCACCTAAACATTAGGAGGAACTTCTTGATTAAATGCTGTTTGAGGGCGAAATGGGGTGCCTTAGAAGGTGGTAGAGCCTCCTTCAGAATAATAATAATAATAATAATAATAATAATAATAATAATAATCAACTTTATTTATACCCCGCCACCATCTCCCCAGAGGGGACTCGGAGCAGCTTACATGAGGCCAAGCCCGGCAATACATTACAGCAAAATAAAATACAGAATAACAAAAATAACATCACAATAAAATGAATAAAACATTCAAGTAAAATAAACAGTGCAAAATAAAATAATAGAAAATCAATAAAAATGAAGAAGTTTTTAAACATCTCAAGAATATATAGTTGTATGTTTCTTCATGGCAGGGCATTGAACTAGATGGCCCTTGGGTTACATTCTAACTCTGATTCTGTGCCTGTAAATCGTGGCAACTACAGGACAGATTTATGAAGTCATGAATACTGTTCTTTGGAACAGTATAATCATAGCTCTCTTGCAAAATGGAAATAATGAAAACAGTTTATTAAAAAGCCAGGAGTGATCCTCATTCATTCTGAGATATGCTGTTGTGGGCTCTGAAACAGTGCTAATTGTTCCTTTACAGCTGTATTCACACCTGTGTCGAAAAGCTCCATCAGTTTCTACATAAACTGTAATATTCTGCAACAACATTATCATCTTTGATCTTTCCTCTCTGCATCACTACATCTCCTTTCAAACTGAATCAGGCCTAAGGCTGTCCCATAATTAAAACTAAGAAAATGTTTATCCTTTGCCAGATGGTTTGAGATTATGAGATTAAAGTATCATGTAAGCAGAAAGGCACGTTTTCTAAACAGCATGACACCAATGGGTGAAGATGCCTCTGTCTTCCTGAGTACAAACTAATGACGAAAAAATAGCATTTCAAAGTGCTATTTCAGGAGTGATCTCTGGGGACTTACTGAAACATCTGTGGAAAAGTGTGTCAATGCAATATTTTCCATCTCCTGGTTTCAAAACAACAGCATAGCAGATTGGATCCTGATTTAGGGTACATCTACACTGCAGAATTAATGCTGTTTGATCCCACTTTCACTGCTATGGCTCAATGTTATGGAATCCTGGGAGTTATAGTTTTATATGGTCTTTAGCTTCTTTTGCCAAAGAATGCTGATACCTCACCAAACTCCAAATCCCAAGATGTAGTAGCATACTTTTGTGGCCTCTGGTAGCATTGTGCCATGGCAGTTAAAGCAGTGTTGAATTGCATTAACTCTACAATGCAGATGTTACCTAGATGAGACTGATGCCCCTTCCACACAGCTGAATAAAATCCCACATTATCTGCTTTCAACTGGAATATTTTGCAGTGTGGAATCAGATATTCCAGTTCAAAGCTGATATTGTGGGTTATTCTGCCTTGATATTCTGGCATATAGGGCTGTGCCTCTAGTGAAATCAGTAAAGGCTGAGTCATGACTAAGTCAAGCCCTGTTGCTTTTGCTGGGTCTGCTTTTAGCATGATTAAATCTGGATTGAACCCCTTATCAAGAAATAATAGAACTCCCACATTGAGCTGTTTGCAAGATCTTTAGAAGGTAAGATTGCTATGGAGACCAAAGATATTGATATCGATCCAGTTTTGCACTTCATCTCCACAGAGTCTAATGTTTTAAATTTTGAAGTGGAATATACAGGTTTACATGGAGAGAGAAACAACATGTTTCTACTGATTCTGCTTTTAAAAGAGTCATTACATCAGCCAAATATAAATAGCACCTTCCATTTGTTCCAAAGACTGAAGAGGTCTGATGAAAACTTGATGTATTCTAAAGCTTTCCAAAATAATTGATAGCCCTGTTCAGTTCACCAAAGCAAACACTGGCAGTGCTAGTTAATTTGGTCAATTAAAATGTTATGTTGACAATAGTCAAAAAGAGAATCAATATAACTATTGGGTTGCTTTGAGTTTTCCGGGCAGTATGGCCATGTTCCAGAAGCATTCTCTCCTGCCATTTTCCCAACATCTATGCCAGGCATCCTCAGAGGTTGTGAGGTCCATTGGAAACTAGGCAAGTGGGGTTTATAGGAAAGTCCAGGGTGGGAGAAATAACTCTTGTCTGCTGGAGGCAAGTGTGGATGTTGCAATTGGCCATCTTGATTAGCATTTAATTAGCATTTAATGGCATTCCACAGCAGTCATGCCAGCCACATGACCTAGGAGGTGTCTACAGACCATGTTGGCTCTTCGGCTTAGAAATGGAGATGAGGACCAACCCCCAGAGTCAGACACAACTGGACTTAATGTCAGGGGAAAACCTTTACCTTTACCTATTAGCTATGTGCAAGACCTGTTTTCTTTTTCCTCAAACTCTTTGAAGATTCATCACCAGGGTCACAATCTTCATCTTTTTCTGCATACTATCCCATTTATTATTATTATTATTATTATTATTATTATTATTATTATTCTAACAGCTGCTATGTAACAATGATTAAAAGCTTATAGCTTTACTATCACTTCATTTGCACATGTGAAGAAGTGGAATGACATCCACAATTGCTCATGTTAGCATAAATTAGTTATAGCTGCTAGGTTCCTTTTCCCCCTTGTCCCCTTTTTTATGAAATTCAGGATGTTTTTTTATACTGGGGGAGGGGAATCCTAGCTTGCTGAATGAGAATGTGAAGCAGCAGAAACTCTCTTGGTTTGAGCCACTCCAAGATTGTATTGTATTTATTTACATCATTTTTACCCAGCTCTTCTCATCCCGCAGGAGACTCAGAACAGCGTACAAACTTTTACAGAACACATATAGGCAAAAATTCAATGCTATTATGCAATTGACAGGTCAAACAATACATGAACAGAGGTATAGGTTTTTTCCATCTCTGACATCTGAAGGCTGTGTTCGACTCTAGCCACAGGGAGGAGGGGGTGCTGTCACTCCATCTTCCATGCTGAGGAACCTTTTTATGGATGTCTTTATTACCTCCCCACTTTTAAAGCGATTCCTATTTATCTACTCACATTGCAGTTTTTGATCTGCTAGGTGGGCAGAAGCTGGGCTGATGGCCAGGAACTCACCCCGACTCGGGCTTGAACTGTTAACCTTTCGATTGGCAAGATTTACTGCACCTGGCGGTTAGCCTGCTGTAATAAAGCCTAGCCCATGGGTTTCCTGATGCTTCATAAATGAAAATAAGTTAAAACAGTTGTTGCTGGCTTATGGATTTTGGCTTGTTTGTTTGCAACAAACCATCATGCAAGATTTGGATATTACAATAAACTTTCCAGGAGACTTGGATGTGACACCCAAGTTTGGGATTATTAGTAATCCTGGATAATAACCTATCCCTTCCTTGATAGTTTGCCTACTCGTATAGTACAAAGTATAGTATAGTGCAAGTATAGTACAAAGCAGAGCTGCACCTTGTAATATCCCTATGTACAGATGTGATCTTTGCATAAAATCCAATGCACGTTTTCCACTGATGGGACTGCTCTCAAAAGA